GAGAACGAGAGATCTCTGACATCTCTTCGTGACGAGCTAAGGGTAGCTCGTGGGATTGTTGATCGGTCTCGGGCTGAGATAACTGCTCTTCAGACCCTTGTTGATGCCCACCATCGGGAGCACAAGGCTCTCTGCGAGATGCTTGAGCGCAAGGGCGTTCTTCATCGGAAGAAGCAGCGTACTGATGGTACGGCTTAAGCCGACCAACGTAAAACGTGGGATGCGTTCGCATCTTACGTGGTAACTCGATCGTGTATGCATTGCCTAGGCGGTGCAATACACGAAATGGGCCGATGTACTTGGGTAGTAGTTTACTGCTACCCAAGTTAGTCACTACATGCTTTGGTAGATTAACCGTAGACAGTAGGACTAAGTCACCTTTATTAAATAAAAGAGTGTTTGCCCTTCCATTCTTGTCAGCGTTTTGCTTTTGCTTATCCACCGCTTCGGCGATGGAGTCTTGCACAAAACGGACTACCGTTTCACGAGCCAGTATGAACTCATCTGATGACTCGTTAGCTTCAGTGTGCTGTGAGCGCACTGCAGCAACAACAACCTTTTCTTCAGTGAGGGCTTCCGCACTCTCACTGGGATCATTGTCTTCAGTGAGGGCTTCCGCACTCTCACTGGCATCATCTTCTTCGATATCGATGTTATCGATATCGGCATCAAACGCAATGACCTCTTCGTCAGAGCGTGATGAGCGTGAACCAAATCGGTTTTTGCTCGCGCGAGTCCCTCCCCCCTTAAACCAGAGTTACACTCTAGTAAGGTGGGTACACGCGGATGGCGTAAGCCATTCACGTAAAACGGTGTATGTGTCGTGGACGCATGCACCGAGTTGTTGATGGCAAACTCTACCATTGGCAAGAACTCACTCCAACTCTTAAAGGAGTGTACGTATCCTCGAAGTATCTCTTCAAGGACACGATTGGCACGTTCCGTCTGACCATCTGACTCTGGATGATCAGATGTTGACATCTTCAAGCGCGTTCCGAGTGATTTGAACACGGAACGCCAGAAATCAGCAGTGAATCGTGGATCTCTGTCTGATACGAGTTCACGGGGCAACCCATGAAGTCGGAAGATGGTGTCAATAAAGACACAAGCACAGCCACTTGCCGTGATTGTCTCTGGTACAGCCACAAGGTGTACCATTTTGCTGAATCTGTCAACAAATACGAGAATACCCGTATTCCCGCGTGCGTCTTTGGGTAACCCGAAGACGAAATCCATTGAGATGGATTCCCAGCACTCAGCCGGAACCGGTAGAGGCTGTAAAGGTGCACGCAGTGAAGGACTTGACTTCACTCGTTGGCAGACTTCGCATGCGCGAACATACTTTCGCACAAACTGATACTGGCGGGGCCAGTAAAAGTCTCGACTTACCGTGAGATATGTTTTCTCTCGGCCACGATGTCCTCCTATAGGAGCATCGTGATACTCGAACATGATCCGCAAACGCAGATCAGTATCATCTGGAATGACAACACGTGGTGTGTCACCAGAAACGGCTGTATAGTACAGTAAACCGTTACGAGTAGTGTATCGATCTGATGCAGATCGATACGCAGGACGACAATCGTTTCAACGATTCTCGAGATGGTTGGGAGAGATGTGACAACAACTTCACTATCTCACCATCTTGGGCGTATGCCCGCCTCACATCATCATACAACGTTGTAGATGGAACTGAGGACGTCATAACCGCAACAGTGACTGTCTCACTGTTGGGTTTCGCGACTGTTTCAAAGTCGGGACGACGTGAGAGTGCATCAGCGACGACATTAAGTCGTCCTGGTTTGTACTCGACCGTAAAGTTGTATTCTGCAAAGAATGACAACCACCGCGCCATTCGTTGTGAAAGGTGCGGGCTGTTCACTGCCGTGCGTAAGGACGCATGGTCAGTGTAAACAACGAAGGGTCTATCTCCTAATAGATAGACTCTGAACTTCGCGAGTGCATACTTCATGGCAAGGAGTTCCTTGTCATGCACTGGATAGTTCCGCTCAGCTGGTTGCAGCTGACGCGACTGATAGCAGACGACGCGTTCAACGCCTTCAAGGTCGTACTGCATTAATGCACAGCCGATTGCGAAATCGCTGGCATCACAGACCACATGAAATGGCCTGTCCTGATCGGCTATTGCTAGGACTGGGGATTGTATCAAGCTCTGCTTGATACCCTCAAAGGGCGTTGACATTCAGCGTTCCATAACCACCTCTCGTTCTTTTTCAACAAACGAGAGAGGTGTACAGTCATCTCGGCGTAATTGCGTGAATACTTATGCAAATACGCCGCTAGCTAAGGAATTTTCGAAGACCTTTGACATCGACCGGCACGGGCCAGTCGGTGATCGCCTTGATCTTTTCGGGATCAGGACGTACACCGTTCTTACCAACGATGCACCCAAGAAGTGGTATTTCGCTTGCTGCAAATATACACTTCTTGAGGTTTGCATACAATTGATGCTTTCGCATGATTGTAAGAACTTGTCGGACGTGGTACTTGTGAACCTCAACGTCCGACTTTCCATCCATAGCTCGACTATGGATGAATACGTCATCGAAATAACTCGGCGCGAATTCTCGTACTGGCCTCAACAGATGTGATACACACCTGTTGAACGTGGCAGGGGCATTACTGAGCCCTTGTGGCATTACTAGCCATTCCCAGAGCATGCCGCTAGGCGTGCTAACTGCGGTATAGGGTATATCCCGTTCCCGCATTAGGATTTGATAGAAGCCATCCATCAAATCCATGGACGAAAAGATGGTACTCTTTGACATACCATCAATGATTACGTCCTTCCTCGGTATCGGCGTCTGAGCCGGTACCGTTGCAGCGTTCAATTTGTTAAACGCGTGCACTATCCGCCACCCTCCTGTTGCTTTTCGCACACAGAAGGTCGGAGAGCTATGTGGGGAAGTTGATTCCCTCACATGGCCCGCTGCTAAACGATCGGCAAAGAACTTGTCGATCGCAAGTACTGTTCACGAGGCAGTGGCCACTGCTTCATGACACAGTACTTCGAGCCTGGTTTAAGCTCGACTTCGTGTCGAATACCTTTATCCTTCGGTAATTCGCACGGAACAGTTTCAGGGAATACATCCTTGAATTCAACCAAATCTTCATAGAGAGGATTTTCCTTGAGCGATTCCCATGATTGGGACTCATATCGCTCAATTCGTGTCTTTTCATCTAGGACACTCTCGTCCATAGATGAACTACTGAGAACTCTCTCGTTCTCAGTAAACACTGTTGCTGACCTTATGTCGGTTACATACTCGTCTTCAGCGACGAGTATGCAGATCTGCTTGACTTTGCCACTACGCAGATCACGCAAGAATCTTTTATGTTCGAGCGTTGGCAACTGAGTGATCTCCGAAGTTAACTTCGGAGGCGCAATCAGATCAAGTGTATAAGCGCCTACACATGATCCGTTATTGACTATGACATTCAATGTCTCTGTCATTTCCTGGGGACTTATTCCCTCAGGCTTCGAAGGACTTATTCCTTCGTCTTCCCGGGGACTTATTCCCGCGGGTTTCGGGGAACTTATTTCCGCCGTATTTGTAATCTTGGGACTTATTCCCTTTACTTCCTCTAGCTGGGGTTGCGCAACCACAGCGAGATCCTCTACGAAAGACTCTCCAGTCGATCTAGGATTATCGTTTCGCTTAACCTGAGCGATCGATTGTTTCTCTTCTAGATGTTCCCCCTCTAGGGATACATCTTTTGTCCCAGTCCACCCGACTTATTCGAGTGGTGGACCTTCGGCGCAGCCTGTGTTTCCTCACAGCCGCCGGAACTTTGCTCCGAAGTGTAACCGTTTGGTACACTAAGGTTTTGTGCAGTCGTACTAACGACCGTACCACAAGTGAGGCCATCGCACTCACTCGTAGTACATCCACACGCTTGTGGACGCTCCAAAACGTTCATCAGATGGCCATCTGATGAACAAGCGGCAGGCATCGTTACTGTCCGATGTTGCCAGTTTACCCGTGGTTCGTACCTTCTGAGCCACGGTATTCCCAGGATGACATCAAATTTGTCATCCAAAAATCCAATACGATAAAGTCATCGTCGTATTGGGTATCTTCTAGCGTATAGTGAATCTTCACTATACGCTTCATACGGTTACGGATGCGCCTGTCGCAAGACGTACCGTCATCCTCGTAGGAGGTGTGTCACATTCACTGAATTTAAAGTGACCATCTTCTAGCGATTGGCGTCGCACAAAATTGTTGGACGCCCCACAATCGACTAGAGCTCGAAGGGACAACTTATTCGTCACTTCGAGTTTCAAGGTAATGAGTGAGATCTCATTACCTAGAGCAGCAACGCACAACGTTTGTGTGTTGGGAGCAACCTTCATCAAGAGGCCTACAAATTCTCTTGACGTTGCTGGATCAGTAGGGTGCTCCGCACCTACTGATCCTGTCCGTTTTTTGACGGTCCATCCCGTTGTTGCGTCTTTGCACCAACTGCGGACCCTCGTCCCTGCCCCTTTCTCATGGGTGGACGGTCACTACGCCCAGTGTCGCGAGACACTGGACGAGGGGCACTACACTCGTAAGCGTAGTGTCCTGTCTTTTGACATCTGTTGCATCTCTGCAACTTCTTGTAGCCTGTAGAGCGAGTCCTTCTCGCTCTCTACATAACAGAGTTCCATCGGCTCTGGACCTCCGTTGTCATATCGTCTCGGTTGACGATATGATGTCGAGCTGGCGCGAGCCTGTCTCAGACTGAAGTCTTCCTGCTCCGCAATTGAAATGGCTTGTTCTAGTGAATCTAGTTCAAGCCGGAACAGGTGAGTCTTGACGGGACCATCCGCAAGACCCTGCATGAACACCGAAACCAACGTGTGTTCATCCACCGGATTGGAACTTATACAACTCGTGAGATGTCGTATATGTTGAGCGTAAGCGTGCACATCACGCTTACCCTGCTTGAGCTTCAAGAGTTCGGTTCGAGCTCTGAACTCAGCTCTAGGCGGTTCAAACGTTTGTCTGAGCCGCGACTTGAAGAACTTCCAACGACCCAAACGCATATGGGTCGTGCAGCTTGAGCCCCAGTGCCCAAGTCTTGGCACGTCCTGCCAGATTTGACTGGGCAAATGCAACTTGCATATCCCCGTCGTCGATGCGACGCGCCCTTATGGCGTCATCCAATTCGACGAACCATCTCAAGAGGGAGTCTTCTTCGACCCCCCTATACTTTGAGATGTCAATCTTCAAAGTCTCGGGCCGACGCGAGTGCATCGACCCGCCAGCAGCAGCAGCCTGCTGCTGTCTCAACAGTTCAAACTGTTGAGCACCTTGTTCTCTCAACAACTCTGCTTGTTGAGAACCTTGTTGGTGAAGCAAGGCTACTTTCTCGCGTTCTGCGTCAAGTTCATTTTGAATGAACTTGGCGATAGTAGCATGTTGGGCATCTCTATTGAGAGCCTCTAGCATGACGCTAACAGCATGGATGCCCATGGTCGAACCCATTCGTTCAACCGCATCCCATTCGACATCGCTCAAATGGGAGTAGCCGTCACGCGTAGCGTGAAAGCTTTGGTCATCTTCATCATCCAACATATTCATGTTGGATGTGAACGCGGTCCTTGGACGGACTACGAAGTGCTACCAGGTGTAACGGGGCACCCTGAAGCTTGTACTGGTGACAGTACAAGCTACTTATTCTGATAACAGAATAAGGCGGTGCCTCGTAACTTCACGTACACTCGTACGTGCAGAGGAAGACGGTAAGAAGAAGCGAGTACTTGGTTAGAGTAAAAAGTAGAACTGTATTTATAATAGTTAATGTCTGCAATAAATCACTATTTATCTTCATCTAACTATGTCTAAATACAAATGTGTAAATCAGTTATCTGCTCACCACTCATTGCGTGCGTCTGTCGTGGCGCGTGTTCGTTGGTTGATATAATGGCCTATATCAACCAATTAGGAACTACTTGAAAGTGCTACAGAATATTGTCCTTATGACAATATTCTGAGAATATAACTCTTATAGTTATATTCTATTAAAAATTTCTTATAAATTGTTATGTAACGATTCACCCCGTTACATTCGGCCGTATCCTGCGCGAGTGTAGAACAGATATCGGCAGCGCCACACGTCCACTGTGATGGTCCCTGGCTCTTCCATCACCAATGTGGAATGCCTGGTCTGCATATCGTCAATGTGTAGCAGATCACTCATCCAGTTCTTCGTCTTCTTGCTAACGTACAATTTCGTTGCACGCACGCAATGCGCTACGCCAAACGAGTTCTCGCCAATCGTTGGACCTTTCCAGCAAAAGTCTCCACCTTCTAACCATACCCACTACAGCGGCATTTGTCACGTTGCGGGCATCGTAGCCGTTCTGGCAGACCGAAGCGTGCCGGCAGTCTTCAATCCCACAGCCTTGTTCTTCACGTCCACGTAAGCGTACCGGAAGTATTCCATCCCACAATCTTGTCCTTGACCGTGATCTTGCCAGCAGTGAAGTGCCTAGCCTGAGTGAAGGATGGAGCTGCAGGAAGACAACGGCTCCGTCTGCGACTCAGGGTAGATGCCACTGTTGACGCGGGTTTTAGCTTGTGCAGCGTCTGCTTTCTATCAGGTGGTGATCCATCAAATGACGGTTGTCCTTCGACACAATCGGCTGGGCTTGTAGGTGTTTTCGCGTTCGTGCTACACGTTTACCGGGTACCGCTATTCCACCAGACTGAGTGTCAAATAGATGGGGTCGTAGACCTACTGGAAGACCGTAGTCATGACCTCGTCCTACTTCTTTTGCTCTTTGACCACGATGCCATGGAGTGTGATGGCGACGCGTGCTCCGTCCTTGCACATCTCTTCTCAACTCGCATCACGGTTTTTCCATGTGAGCGTGGGTATCTGTTGATGTTGATGTGCGCAGGCGAAGGCAAATTGTGAAGTGAATATATTTATGGTCCTTAGTTCGCAAACTTGCTTCGCTACCTCTAAGCCACTCATTTCCTATACTTAGACAAACTATATCAGTCCCACTGATTTAGCTAGACCAATGAACACCCTTCGATCTTCTCAAGATCTTCTAGAAGGTTCACTGGTTTATCTAGACCAATCAACACCCTTCGATCTTCTCAAGATCTTCCAGAAGGTTTAAGAAGATCTCCTTGTGACGTCACCCGATGACGTCATGCTGTGCTTCTTCTCAGCCAGTCCTTCTCGATTCTTCCAAACCTATCCATGAACATAAAAAGCAGTAGACGGTGCTATGTTAACACTCCCACTCACCGCTATTGCTAAATGCCCTTGGGTCCAATGCAGCTTGCTTGTATCAAATAGTTCAGTCGCTTGGTCCCCAGAGCCTTCGTTAGCATGTCGGCCAATTGGTTTATGGTGGAGATGTACTTGACCACGATGATATCGTGGGCCACATTCTCCCGGATGAAGTGGTGACGAATGTCAACGTGCTTGGTTCTGGCATTGTAGCCGGCATTGCTGGCAAGCCCAATTGCTCCTTGATTGTCTTCCCAGACCCACGTTGCTCCCACTTGCTCGTGACCTAGATCCTTAAGCAGCGCACGAACCCATAACACTTCCTGTGTACACAGGCTTAAAGCCATGTACTCTGCCTCAGCAGAGCTTAGAGCCACCGTGCGTTGATACTTGGACTTGTATATGGCTGGTGCGCCACCGATGATCACCATTATCCCTGACACGGAGCGTCGATCATCGATGTTGCTACCCCAGTCCGCGTCCGTATACACTGTAGCTGTTACTTCGCTAGCACTGCCGTCGTAGATTATCCCGTAGTCTCTTGTCGTCTTGAGATACCGAAGAACACGAATGGCTGCCTTCTAATGTTGCTGACCTGGATTCTCCAAAAACCTTGATAACTGCGTGATGACATACATCACATCTGGGCGCGTACATGTCGTGATGTATAGCAAACATCCGATCAGCGACCTGTACGGCTTTGACTGCATTTCTGCTCTATCGACATCCGTCGTTGGGGATTGCTTCTTTGACAGCTTCAGGCCGGACTCGCATGGGTTGACCACTGCCTTTGCGTCCTCTTGATTAAAACGGCTGGCCACACCATCGATGTATCGAGTCTGTCGAATCATCAGCTTACTGCAGTTGTGGTCATGATCAATCTCCACGCCAAGAATAAATTTAGCCTTGTCTAGTTCCTTCATACGAAATGATCTCTTGAGTGCTGTCTTGACCTCTTGAATCTCCCTGCTGGTCTTGGCGGCGATGATCATGTCGTCGACGTAGAGACAAACATAGACATAGTTGTCATCTTGATGCTTGACGTAGATACACTGATCTGCTCCGCTGCTACGAAATCCGATCTGTAAGAATACAGCATGGATTGTCTTGTTCCACGCACTTGCAGCCTGCTTGAGACCGTAGATTGCCTTGTCCAACTTGCACATCATCTTCTCCGCATTAGCTATGCCATTTGGCACTTCCATGTACACCTCTTCCTTGAGATCACTGTTCAAGAACGCCGTGTCTACGTCCAGCTGCTCAGTGACGTATCCCTTTGTCACCACCACAGCTAGCACAACCCTGATCGAGTTCATGTTTGCCACGGGAGAGTACGTCTCGAAGAAGTCGACACCGAATTTCTACTTGAACCCCTTTGCGACGAGTCGAGCTTTGTAGCGCACCACTTGTCCGTGTTCGTTTCGCTTCTTAGCAAATATCCATCTGCACCCGATTGGTCGAATGTCTTGCCGTTTTGGTACCAGTGTCCAGGACCCGTTATCGGCGTGCGCCTTGAGCTCCGCTTGCATCGCTTGAATCCACTTGCTGTTGTCTTCGCCTTTTAACGCTTGGCTGTATGTTGATGGAGCGTCGTCCGCCTCGCCAACGCTTGCAGCATAGGATAATACAGCCTCTGCAATGAGACCTTCGTCATCAATTCTTGCACGCTTTGGAGAAGGTGGTCCATCGCTACCTTCTGACGTGTCTTCACTGCTATTCCCATTCTCAAGCAGCAGCATTCTGTCTCGTGAGCGTCTTGTCCGATTTATCTCCGGCTGAAATACCAACCTGTCCTCCTGAAAAGCTTGTCTCGGAGCTTGATATCCCGTTATCTCATCGCCTCTTGGTTCTTGAGTACTTGAGGTATGATGATACCTGTTTCGAATGGAGCCGATTCTATCTCGTCCATCTCGACATCAGGAGCGCTTTCTTCGACATCTTTCATCGTCTCGTCTCCATCATACGGACGAACCACCGGAATCACTGCTTCATCAGTGTCCCTAATATACTTGACGACTGGTACTTTATCTGGCACCACCGTGTCGTATATGCCTTCAACTTCCCGCTCGTCCAGCTTTACGGAGCGCGATATGATAACCTTCGACCTTTCCAGATTGAACACCCTGTATCCCTTGGTGTTCTCCCCATATCCGAGGAACATACACCGGTAACTCTTTGTTTCGAGCTTCGTCCTCTTGGCGTCGTCAATGTGAGCATACCCTTGCGATCCAAACACACGCAAATGCTCAATACTCGGCTTCATCTTGAAACCAACCTCGAACGGTGTTACGTCCGAATTTGCAGAGTTTGTGGATCTGTTGATCAAGTACACAGCCGTACTGACCGCCTCTGCCCACCACTGCATGTCGATACCCTTGTAGTACAGCATGCTCCTTGCCTTCTCCATGATAGTGCGATTCATGCGTTCCGCAACGCCGTTCTGTTGCGGACTATATGGTACTGTCCGCTGGTGCATGATACCATTACGGGCGCATATATGGGCAATCTTCTTGTTGACAAACTCCGTCCCGTTATCCGGACCGTATACACTTCAAGTGCTTGCCCCATTGATTCTCATAGAAAGCCTTGAACTCGCTAAGCCTTGCGGCCACCTCGCTCTTGTGCTTCATGAAGTACGCTGCCACAAATCTTGAGTAGTCGTCTACGAATGTCAATACGAATCGTGCACCACCCTTTGAGACCGTCTTCATCGGTCCCATCACGTCCGTGTGTACTAGTTCCAACACACGTGACGTCCTTGTTAGCGATTGAGACTGGAATGTATCGATCGTCAGCTTGCCCTTCATGCATCCACTACACAGCTTCTCGATGCCCTGCTTTACCGCCGGCATACCACTCGTAGCGCGCTGTGTCTTGTCCATACCAGATCTTCCGGGGTGTCCCAAGCGAGCGTGCCAAAGCTCCCACTCACTTTCAGCCCCTGCGTATTCTACAAGCCGGGCTTCTTCTTGTTCGCAATCCAGGAAGTACGCCTTGCCAATCTTCTTGCCGCTTGCAATCGCGCGCTTGGCACTCCAAATGATGCAGGACGAGCTTTGAAACTCCACTCTCATGCCTCGTCCTGCCAGTTTGCCAACGGACAGCAATCGTTTGTCAAGTCCTGGTATGTGCATGACATCGACCATCATGATCCGTCGACTGTCTAGACCTTTCAGCTTGACTGTTCCCACTCCAGCTACCTGCAGCTTCTTGCCATCAGCGATAGAGACTTGTTGACCAGTCTTCAACTCCTTGTACTCAAATAGATCGCTCCGATGTGGTGTCATGTGCGACGTAGCCCCGCTGTCGATAAGCCATTCTTCGCATTGCAACTCACCAGCAGCAAACACAGCACCTTCTTCCTCGCCATTGCTACGCTTCAGGCAGTCCCGCTTATAGTGTCCGACTAGACCACACTTAAAGCACTTGCCTTTAATTCCGGTGTTGGTTTTCCGTAGATAGTTTCCCTTGCGGCCGTTACCTTGGCCTCCCTTGAACCGTCTACAGTTGCTGCTTACAGGAAACGCCTTCTCCGTAGTCTCCTTCCTCTGCAATCGTTCATGCTCCTTGAGCAGCTTTTCCTTGACCTCGATGAGCGTAATGTCCTTGGAATTCTCTACAATTGACGAGATAAGCTCATAGTCCGTCGGAAGACTACTAAGCAGCACCACTAGCTGCCGAGAGTCATCGACTGGCTCTCCAAGTGTCTGGAGGCCGACAACAAGCTCGTCAAAAGCATCCAAGTGCTTCGACATGGTCGAACCATTCTCCATCTTGAACTCATGCAGACGACGTGTCATCTCGACACGATTGTGGAGCGTGGTGCGGTTGTAGAAGTCCCGCAAGATGACCCACGCGTGCATAGCTGTCGTCGCCGATCGTATCTTAGTCTGGTGCTGTAGCTCTATGCCTTGAGCGATGATACCCAGTGCCTTAGCGTCGTTGAACAGCCAGGCATCCGTCATCTCTTCTTCTTTCTTGATGACTTGAACGTGCACCAGCAGCCCCTTGCGCGCCAACGTCATGCGCATGTTATACTCCCAGTGGAAGTAGTTTCCACTACCCAGGAGGACTTCACACCGCTTGTTTGTCATGGTGGACGTGGTGGCTTGGCGGTTTGGAGCGCGTTGCGGCTGTTAACCTGTTGATGTTGATGTGCGCAGGCGAAGGCAAATTGTGAAGTGAATATATTTATGGTCCTTAGTTCGCAAACTTGCTTCGCTACCTCTAAGCCACTCATTTCCTATACTTAGACAAACTATATCAGTCCCACTGATTTAGCTAGACCAATGAACACCCTTCGATCTTCTCAAGATCTTCTAGAAGGTTCACTGGTTTATCTGGACCAATCAACACCCTTCGATCTTCTCAAGATCTTCCAGAAGGTTTAAGAAGATCTCCTTGTGACGTCACCCGATGACGTCATGCTGTGCTTCTTCTCAGCCAGTCCTTCTCGATTCTTCCAAACCTATCCATGAACATAAAAAGCAGTAGACGGTGCTATGTTAACAGTATCACGTTGTCAGTGCTGACAGTCAATGTATCCGGGCCATGATGCAGTTTTGACAAGGTCGATATTTCAGCCATGACAACACAATCAGCGAGTGAGGTGGTTTGTAAGATGCGCTTCGTTTGTTTGTAACAGTGCAGTATGCTCGATCAACTTCGATTGGTGTCGTCAAGTCTCCGTCGTTTGTCTCTGCAAAAGGGAAGGGGCCGGCTACGAACGAAATGTGTTCCAAGCGTTCACAAATGTCGCTGATTGGTTTCCGAACAAGATGGTGTATGTGACAGTGTCCGAGACACCCGCGTGCATGCCCTGAAATAGTACAGTGAGCAGGCTCGAAAGGATGAGTGGCCGCGCCGGTCCGGTGACCACGCTGGTCACGTGACGCAGGTCATTAGTGTAACGGGGTGAATCGTTACATAACAATTTATAAGAAATTGTTAATAGAATATAACTATAAGAGTTATATTCTCAGAATATTGTCATAAGGACAATATTCTGTAGCACTTCCAAGTAGTTCCTAATTGGTTGATATAGGCCATTATATCAACCAACGAAGACGCGCCACGACAGACGCACGCAATGAGTGGTGAGCAGATAACTGATTTACACATTTGTATTTAGACATAGTTAGATGAAGATAAATAGTGATTTATTGCAGACATTAACTATTATAAATACAGTTCTACTTTTTACTCTAACCAAGTACTCGCTTCTTCTTACCGTCTTCCTCTGCACGTACGAGTGTACGTGAAGTTACGAGGCACCGCCTTATTCTGTTATCAGAATAAGTAGCTTGTACTGTCACCAGTACAAGCTTCAGGGTGCCCCGTTACACCTGGTAGCACTTAGTAGTCCGTCCAAGGACCGCGTTCACATCCAACATGAATATGTTGGATGATGAAGATGACCAAAGCTTTCACGCTACGCGTGACGGCTACTCCCATTTGAGCGATGTCGAATGGGATGCGGTTGAACGAATGGGTTCGACCATGGGCATCCATGCTGTTAGCGTCATGCTAGAGGCTCTCAATAGAGATGCCCAACATGCTACTATCGCCAAGTTCATTCAAAATGAACTTGACGCAGAACGCGAGAAAGTAGCCTTGCTTCACCAACAAGGTTCTCAACAAGCAGAGTTGTTGAGAGAACAAGGTGCTCAACAGTTTGAACTGTTGAGACAGCAGCAGGCTGCTGCTGGCGGGTCGATGCACTCGCGTCGGCCCGAGACTTTGAAGATTGACATCTCAAAGTATAGGGGGGTCGAAGAAGACTCCCTCTTGAGATGGTTCGTCGAATTGGATGACGCCATAAGGGCGCGTCGCATCGACGACGGGGATATGCAAGTTGCATTTGCCCAGTCAAATCTGGCAGGACGTGCCAAGACTTGGGCACTGGGGCTCAAGCTGCACGACCCATATGCGTTTGGGTCGTTGGAAGTCTTCAAGTTGCGGCTCAGACAAACGTTTGAACCGCCTAGAGCTGAGTTCAGAGCTCGAACCGAACTCTTGAAGCTCAAGCAGGGTAAGCGTGATGTGCACGCTTACGCTCAACATATACGACATCTCACGAGTTGTATAAGTTCCAATCCGGTGGATGAACACACGTTGGTTTCGGTGTTCATGCAGGGTCTTGCGGATGGTCCCGTCAAGACTCACCTGTTCCGGCTTGAACTAGATTCACTAGAACAAGCCATTTCAATTGCGGAGCAGGAAGACTTCAGTCTGAGACAGGCTCGCGCCAGCTCGACATCATATCGTCAACCGAGACGATATGACAACGGAGGTCCAGAGCCGATGGAACTCTGTTATGTAGAGAGCGAGAAGGCTCGCTCTACAGGCTACAAGAAGTTGCAGAGATGCAACAGATGTCAAAAGACAGGACACTACGCTTACGAGTGTAGTGCCCCTCGTCCAGTGTCTCGCGACACTGGGCGTAGTGACCGTCCACCCATGAGAAAGGGGCAGGGACGAGGGTCCGCAGTTGGTGCAAAGACGCAACAACGGGATGGACCGTCAAAAAACGGACAGGATCAGTAGGTGCGGAGCACCCTACTGATCCAGCAACGTCAAGAGAATTTGTAGGCCTCTTGATGAAGGTTGCTCCCAACACACAGACATTGTGCGTTGCTGCTCTAGGTAATGAGATCTCACTCATTACCTTGAAACTCGAAGTGACGAATAAGTTGTCCCTTCGAGCTCTAGTCGATTGTGGGGCGTCCAACAATTTTGTGCGACGCCAATCGCTAGAAGATGGTCACTTTAAATTCAGTGAATGTGACACACCTCCTACGAGGATGACGGTACGTCTTGCGACAGGCGCATCCGTAACCGTCATGAAGCGTATAGTGAAGATTCACTATACGCTAGAAGATACCCAATACGACGATGACTTTATCGTATTGGATTTGGATGACAAATTTGATGTCATCCTTGGAATACCGTGGCTCAGAAGGTACGAACCACGGGTAAACTGGCAACATCGGACAGTAACGATGCCTGCCGCTTGTTCATCAGATGGCCATCTGATGAACGTTTTGGAGCGTCCACAAGCGTGTGGATGTACTACGAGTGAGTGCGATGGCCTCACTTGTGGTACGGTCGTTAGTACGACTGCACAAAACCTTAGTGTACCAAACGGTTACACTTCGGAGCAAAGTTCCGGCGGCTGTGAGGAAACACAGGCTGCGCCGAAGGTCCACCACTCGAATAAGTCGGGTGGACTGGGACAAAGATGTATCCCTAGAGGGGAACATCTAGAAGAGAAACAATCGATCGCTCAGGTTAAGCGAAACGATAATCCTAGATCGACTGGAGAGTCTTTCGTAGAGGATCTCGCTGTGGTTGCGCAACCCCAGCTAGAGGAAGTAAAGGGAATAAGTCCCAAGATTACAAATACGGCGGAAATAAGTTCCCCGAAACCCGCGGGAATAAGTCCCCGGGAAGACGAAGGAATAAGTCCTTCGAAGCCTGAGGGAATAAGTCCCCAGGAAATGACAGAGACATTGAATGTCATAGTCAATAACGGATCATGTGTAGGCGCTTATACACTTGATCTGATTGCGCCTCCGAAGTTAACTTCGGAGATCACTCAGTTGCCAACGCTCGAACATAAAAGATTCTTGCGTGATCTGCGTAGTGGCAAAGTCAAGCAGATCTGCATACTCGTCGCTGAAGACGAGTATGTAACCGACATAAGGTCAGCAACAGTGTTTACTGAGAACGAGAGAGTTCTCAGTAGTTCATCTATGGACGAGAGTGTCCTAGATGAAAAGACACGAATTGAGCGATATGAGTCCCAATCATGGGAATCGCTCAAGGAAAATCCTCTCTATGAAGATTTGGTTGAATTCAAGGATGTATTCCCTGAAACTGTTCCGTGCGAATTACCGAAGGATAAAGGTATTCGACACGAAGTCGAGCTTAAACCAGGCTCGAAGTACTGTGTCATGAAGCAGTGGCCACTGCCTCGTGAACAAGTACTTGCGATCGACAAGTTCTTTGCCGATCGTTTAGCAGCGGGCCATGTGAGGGAATCAACTTCCTCACATAGCTCTCCGACCTTCTGTGTGCGAAAAGCAACAGGAGGGTGGCGGATAGTGCACGCGTTTAACAAATTGAACGCTGCAACGGTACCGGCTCAGACGCCGATACCGAGGAAGGACGTAATCATTGATGGTATGTCAAAGAGTACCATCTTTTCGTCCATGGATTTGATGGATGGCTTCTATCAAATCCTAATGCGGGAACGGGATATACCCTATACCGCAGTTAGCACGCCTAGCGGCATGCTCTGGGAATGGCTAGTAATGCCACAAGGGCTCAGTAATGCCCCTGCCACGTTCAACAGGTGTGTATCACATCTGTTGAGGCCAGTACGAGAATTCGCGCCGAGTTATTTCGATGACGTATTCATCCATAGTCGAGCTATGGATGGAAAGTCGGACGTTGAGGTTCACAAGTACCACGTCCGACAAGTTCTTACAATCATGCGAAAGCATCAATTGTATGCAAACCTCAAGAAGTGTATATTTGCAGCAAGCGAAATACCACTTCTTGGGTGCATCGTTGGTAAGAACGGTGTACGTCCTGATCCCGAAAAGATCAAGGCGATCACCGACTGGCCCGTGCCGGTCGATGTCAAAGGTCTTCGAAAATTCCTTGGGCTAGCGGCGTATTTGCATAAGTATTCACGCAATTACGCCGAGATGACTGTACACCTCTCTCGTTTGTTGAAAAAGAACGAGAGGTGGTTATGGAACGCTGAATGTCAACGCTCCTTTGAGGGTATCAAGCAGAGCTTGATACAATCCCCAGTCCTAGCAATAGCCGATCAGGACAGGCCATTTCATGTGGTCTGTGATGCCAGCGATTTCGCAATCGGCTGTGCATTAATGCAGTACGACCTTGAAGGCGTTGAACGCGTCGTCTGCTATCAGTCGCGTCAGCTGCAACCAGCTGAGCGGAACTATCCAGTGCATGACAAGGAACTCCTTGCCATGAAGTATGCACTCGCGAAGTTCAGAGTCTATCTATTAGGAGATAGACCCTTCGTTGTTTACACTGACCATGCGTCCTTACGCACGGCAGTGAACAGCCCGCACCTTTCACAACGAATGGCGCGGTGGTTGTCATTCTTTGCAGAATACAACTTTACGGTCGAGTACAAACCAGGACGACTTAATGTCGTCGCTGATGCGCTCTCACGTCGTCCCGACTTTGAAACAGTCGCGAAACCCAACAGTGAGACAGTCACTGTTGCGGTTATGACGTCCTCAGTTCCATCTACAACGTTGTATGATGATGTGAGGCGGGCATACGCCCAAGATGGTGAGATAGTGAAGTTGTTGTCACATCTCTCCCAACCATCTCGAGAATCGTTGAAACGATTGTCGTCTGCGTATCGATCTGCATCAGATCGATACACTACTCGTAACGGTTTACTGTACTATACAGCCGTTTCTGGTGACACACCACGTGTTGTCATTCCAGATGATACTGATCTGCGTTTGCGGATCATGTTCGAGTATCACGATGCTCCTATAGGAGGACATCGTGGCCGAGAGAAAACATATCTCACGGTAAGTCGAGACTTTTACTGGCCCCGCCAGTATCAGTTTGTGCGAAAGTATGTTCGCGCATGCGAAGTCTGCCAACGAGTGAAGTCAAGTCCTTCACTGCGTGCACCTTTACAGCCTCTACCGGTTCCGGCTGAGTGCTGGGAATCCATCTCAATGGATTTCGTCTTCGGGTTACCCAAAGACGCACGCGGGAATACGGGTATTCTCGTATTTGTTGACAGATTCAGCAAAATGGTACACCTTGTGGCTGTACCAGAGACAATCACGGCAAGTGGCTGTGCTTGTGTCTTTATTGACACCATCTTCCGACTTCATGGGTTGCCCCGTGAACTCGTATCAGACAGAGATCCACGATTCACTGCTGATTTCTGGCGTTCCGTGTTCAAATCACTCGGAACGCGCTTGAAGATGTCAACATCTGATCATCCAGAGTCAGATGGTCAGACGGAACGTGCCAATCGTGTCCTTGAAGAGATACTTCGAGGATACGTACACTCCTTTAAGAGTTGGAGTGAGTTTTTGCCGATGGTAGAGTTTGCCATCAACAACTCGGTGCATGCGTCCACGACACATACACCGTTTTACGTGAATGGCTTGCGCCATCCGCGTGTACCCACCTTACTAGAGTGTAACTCTGGTTTAAGGGGGAGGGACTCGCGCGAGCAAAAACCGATTTGGTTCACGCTCATCACGCTCTGACGAAGAAGTCATTGCGTTTGATGCCGATATCGATAACATCGATATCGAAGAAGATGATGCCAGTGAGAGTGCGGAAGCCCTCACTGAAGACAATGATCCCAGTGAGAGTGCGGAAGCCCTCACTGAAGAAAAGGTTGTTGTCGCTGCAGTGCGCTCACAGCACACTGAAGCTAACGAGTCATCAGATGAGTTCATACTGGCTCGTGAAACGGTAGTCCGTTTTGTGCAAGACTCCATCGCCGAAGCGGTGGATAAGCAAAAGCAAAACGCTGACAAGAATGGAAGGGCAAACACTCTTTTATTTAATAAAGGTGACTTAGTCCTACTGTCTACGGTTAATCTACCAAAGCATGTAGTGACTAACTTGGGTAGCAGTAAACTACTACCCAAGTACATTGGCCCATTTCGTGTATTGCACCGCCTAGGCAATGCATACACGATCGAGTTACCACGTAAGATGCGAACGCATCCCACGTTTTACGTTGGTCGGCTTAAGCCGTACCATCAGTACGCTGCTTCTTCCAATGAAGAACGCCCTTGCGCTCAAGCATCTCGCAGAGAGCCTTGTGCTCCCGATGGTGGGCATCAACAAGGGTCTGAAGAGCAGTTATCTCAGCCCGAGACCGATCAACAATCCCACGAGCTACCCTTAGCTCGTCACGAAGAGATGTCAGAGATCTCTCGTTCTCAAGCTGAGCAAAGGCAAACTCAGCTCGATGCTTCGAGGCAGTGTCCACCATCTGGAGACGCCTATTCCGCTCATGCTCGAGATCGTCGCGTAACCCTTGCGTTACGCGATCAAAGAAGCTCTCGGGAACACACCGATCCACATGATCGTGTGGAGAGCGTCTTTCCTCCTCCTCCACCTCCATTAGAGGACTCTCGCGGTGGCCAGCGCTATCTAGTTGAGCAGCTGTTGAACCACCGCGACGTGAACGGACGTCGGACGAGTTACCTCGTCCGGTGGCGCGGCTATCCCCCGTCCTGGGATTCTTGGGAGCCCCGCTCCCAATTGATGGTTGACGTACTGGGTCTGGTCGAGCAGTACGACGCGACACATCCTGTGCCGCAGAAGGACCGCCGGAGAAAGTCTTCCCGGCACGGTCGTAAAGGGATTTCAGGTTGTCAATCCCTTCGTACATCTCAGTAGAGACACGTACGCGCCACCACGGGCTGGTAAGGAGGTAAGCCTCCTTAGGTGCTCGTGCAGAGTTGTTCACACAACATGGGCACGAGTCTCCCCAAGAGAGGCAGGGTAATCCTTTCTCCCTTGACAGACGATGCAGCTTATAGCGTGCACCTGTCGGGGTTCGCTTTTCAAACTTATCACGAGCTTTGATAAGTTTGTCGTTCCAAGCGTCACGACCTACATCCTCGAGATTATGGATGTAGGCGTTCCACGCCTGAAGTAGTGAGGGACCATCACGTTTGTGATTCCCACTGTACCATCGATGTCTGAAGAAAGCATCGATGAAGAACTTCATGTTCAGCGCGATAGTCTTTCGCGCTGGGGTCAAGGTGATGAATCCTCGACGAATCGAACAATCGTGTTCGATAACGATCACTCGTCGTCGCCGACAAGTGATCCATGACAGATTTAGGAGGCATCCATGCCTTCTTTTCTGGAGCGAGACGCAACACATTGCGGTCCCGCTCTTCCTGCGACGTGCCGACAGAAGTACTGGCACCTCGCTGTGAAGTGGTGTCCATTGGAGAAACGAAACCACTATTAGCGCCCGAGTCTCGCGACCTCGAGCGCCTTCGCTTCGGCGATGGTTCATCTGACTCATCAGATGAACCAAAGATGCTGCGACGCAAAGCATCGTCCATGCCACGCTTGGCAGGCGGCTTGGATTCAATTGCCGTCGATACGGATCCGTCATCCGTATCAGGAGAGTACGAGACACCGAGCTCGTACTCTGTGAAGACACGAGTGTCTTCATGACCAGCGCCTGCATCACCAGGTGATACAGGCTGAGTCGCTTCAGCAACCGATGGGACATCAGTTGCTGTAGTTTCTGCTTCGGCGTCCGCACAGAGACGTGCAGACGCGCTCTCGGCGGCCTTGCTCGCGCATCGCATGGGCTTGTTTACCATGCGATGAGATGTTGGAAAGTGGACGCGGACCAACAAGTGCAAACCCCGTCCCAAATGATTTGGGACGAGTATCCATTTAGTCAATCAGTCACTAAAGTGACTGATGGTTAAGGGGGGGGTGATGTAACGGGGTGAATCGTTACATAACAATTTATAAGAAATTTTTAATAGAATATAACTATAAGAGTTATATTCTCAGAATATTGTCATAAGGACAATATTCTGTAGCACTTCCAAGTAGTTCCTAATTGGTTGATATAGGCCATTATATCAACCAACGAAGACGCGCCACGACAGACGCACGCAATGAGTGGTGAGCAGATAACTGATTTACACATTTGTATTTAGACATAGTTAGATGAAGATAAATAGTGATTTATTGCAGACATTAACTATTATAAATACAGTTCTACTTTTTACTCTAACCAAGTACTCGCTTCTTCTTACCGTCTTCCTCTGCACGTACGAGTGTACGTGAAGTTACGAGGCACCGCCTTATTCTGTTATCAGAATAAGTAGCTTGTACTGTCACCAGTACAAGCTTCAGGGTGCCCCGTTACAATTAGCGGACGCGATAATCAGGTCGATTAGTGGCAACAGAAGGGATGAAATGACGAAAAGCGGTGCCACCACAAATCATCACATAGGATCATCAAGCCAACCTTGACGTGCCAACTCGATCCATTCGCACCATGTGCCACAACCGTGCTGCAGCTTCTACTACAAAGAAGAGCACTAGAAGCTGGCACGATTCGCTGCTTTTCAAACGGGAGTCAAGGAGGGGGTACAGAAAAGTAGAAAAGGTTCTGAAAACGAGATACATAACGAATGGTGATCCTTTCTCTAGCCTGCGTGTTCCACCTCTGACTCAAATTTTTTCTCAGAGTGATACTTCGTACCGTGAGTCACACTACGCGTATAGTTCAAATCCACGTCGTTCGTCGCAATCTTGGTCGCACAGATCTTGGTCCAATCGATCTCGGTGGGGAGCCTCGTTGTCGTTTGAAGTAGAAGCTGGAAAACCCATGAGTCTACTACCGTGGAGATCCGACAATCTCAGGAACGATTATTGTCCACGAAGTGTTCCGACTATCGGAAGTGCATCAAGAACTTCATTAGGACGGTTCTCCGAATGTGCCAGTAGGTCTCCGACTAACGGAACGCTGTCAAGAAGACTTTCGTTAGGACGGGTATCCGAATGTGCCAGTAGGTCTCCGACTAACGGAAGACTACCAAGAAGACTTTCGTTAGGACGTCCCTCCGAATGTGCCAGAAGGTCTCCGACTAACGGAACGCTGTCAAGAAGACTTTCGTTAGGACGGGTATCCGAATGTGCCAGTAGGTCTCCGACTAACGGAACGCTGTCAAGAAGACTTTCGTTAGGACGTCCTTCCGAATGTGCCAGTAGGTCTCCGACTAACTGAAGACTACCGAGAAGACTTTCGTTAGGACGTCCCTCTGAATGTGCTAGGAGTGCATCGAGGATTGGAAGGTCCTCGATAAGTTCGAGAACTTCGTTGGGATGCCCCTCTGAATGGGTCGGAACTTGTCCGTACGTTGTTGCAGTTGCGACAGCGGCGAGTACGACGGAAATGAGGAGTTTCATCTTTGTCGCGAAGTGTGGAGGTGTGGAGGCTGGGAAGGGTTTGGCAAGTTGCAGAATGATAAACAAGTACACATGCTCTTGGATCGGGCGTCCAGTTGAATTGGTCGAATCAGAAGCAGTTTCGTTTGTTACAGAGGATAAACTTCTACCACACTTTGGACGTCATCCTTGCTAAAGAAAACGCATGGCTGTTGATGCTGATCGAGTCATGAAACGACCGGCAGGAGAAGACGAATCTCGCTGATCAATTCGTTGCAAATCGAGATGTCGCAGCTCTTGAACCTTGAGATCGACCGTGATGGATCAAAGAAGAACACTGACTCGGTCCTCTCCATTCGGAAAGAGTCGTCTGCTCGACTCTTGCATCGTCTGGCATCTTCTGAGAGATTATACAGCAGATCGATCCAAAGTGTAAGAGTTCAGACGTCCGATCGGATCCATAGCTTACTGAAGTGGCCCGCAAAAGAGCGTTCAAACGCGACGCAGCATGTTGACGATACACGACACTATGAACACATACGAACGGTCGTTGGAAATGTCTTGCTTCTTGAACCTGCACAGATTCCTCATCATCTTCCACCGTGGCAAGGTCGACCACCAAAAAGGGACGTGCATCAGTAGGGTGTTCATAATCGGCCAACATGATTGTAAGCGCTCATCTTTTCGTTTCATGGTGATGTTCATCTGGACAGTCATCATACGAGCGAAACCGCTGCATACTGATGACGGCGTCACAGCACGTAGCTTGTACGGATGAGAAGCGAGGGAGGAGGTTGAAACTGGTGAACTGTAAGAGTATTGAGTCAATGATCTCCTGGACGATTGCAGATACCACAGATGCTCGGGATCTAGCAGGTCAGCACTTGTACGGAGATACACCTGCGACAGCTAGAAGAAAGATAGACCGATATAATGCAGACTACCAGACGAGAGAAAACGAGTCTGGTGGGATCAACGGACGGACGATGCTACGAACGAAATACGTGCAAGCCGGCACTACTCGCGGAGAACCGCCACTTCACTACCGCTACAGACTAGGCATATTGACCATGGTACGCGCATAAAGCACGCACAGTGCTTGAAATGTTCACAGCAAAGTTGACAAAGCTGTGCCTGCCGTTTCTATCGTGGATCGTCCCTGTCCACGTGATGTATTGCTACTTAACGTAGAGATGATAGTCAAGGAACCAGAGAAATACGGAGAAATGCTCAAACGATGAGCCAGTGCACGCAAAGGTATCGCAAGACTGCTGCAGTAAGTTTGGCTTCGGCGTGAACGGGCTAGCAGTGCGTCTTCTGTTCTAACATGATTTTCGGCCGATCCGGCGTGGGGTGGTCACAGGTCTGTTTCTTAGAATATCACGTTCAACATCACGCAGTCGTCTTTCGTGTTCATCCTTCAATTTACCTCCCCACCCACCATACTGTATGTACCGCTCGCCTTTTTCTGAAGGTGCCTCCGAAGACAATGACAAACCCTGAACAAGCGCCAATACAAGTCGCTAGTATTCGTGACGCGGAGCAGCTTGTCGGAACCGAATCCACACCTTCGATTGATGTCATGAGAGTGTGGTGGCTCTGACATGACTCGCCAGATTTGTCACCAATCACCGACGCGCCATCTTTGCTTCCACATCACCAGCAGTGTTCAAACGGCGAAACGAAGCTATAGGCAAGATGCGTGTTGCGAGAAGGAAGCGTTAGGTGAACAATAAGATTCTGTTGTATTTCCTTACTAGTTCTCTCTTCTCTGCCAAGATCGCCAAAGCCCTCTGCTCCATTCATCCATCTCACACGCATTCTGGCTCTACTCGGGTCACTATCCTGCTTGTCACTCTGCGTCCACCATTTACGCACAGCGAGTTTGTGACATCAGGTTTCCAAATAAACCCCAAGTCACCGGCCGAACACTCCGATCACCGTTACGTACCCTTGCACCCATTTCCAACATTCCAACACTCCTCCTCGGTCGTTACTTGCCCTCAAACCAGTTTTATTTCTTGAGCTTGCAAATGTCCTTGTCCCTGTGCTCCTCCATCCCTGAGCTCCTTGATCGCCCTTAATCGTCCTTGACCTTTTCTTAACCAATGCGCACGAGTGCGCGCAGTGTCGAGAGCTTCGTTGCGTCCAACGCCTTCGTGAGGAGGTCTGCGAGCATCTGCTCCGATCTGACGTAGCTCGCCGTGATGATGCCGCGACGCGAGTAGTCGCAAAGGAACTTAAGACGCACATCCACATGTTTTTCCTTCAGCGACGATGCCTCTCCCGCGATCTGCGCGATCGCCGCTTGGTTGTCCACCCACAACTGCATCGGAAGCGTGGGCTCCACGCCCACTTCGCACAACATCTCGCGCAGGCCGAGCAGCTCGCGCGCGACTTCACTCGCCGCAACAAATTCCGCCTCTATCGTCGACAGGGAGACGCCTCCCTGCTTCCGCGCACCCCAGCTGACGGCCATCCCGTTCAGCATCACGATGCCGCCCGTCATCGACTTCCGGTCCGTCTTGTCGGCGGCAAAGTCGGCGTCGCTAAACGCTTCTAGTCGCATCGCCGCACCTAAATTTTCTTCTGGGATCATCATGATCTTAAGCGCCACCGTACCCTTGAGGTATCGCGCGATGCGTTTAGCTAACTTCCAGTCTGCTAGTCGAGGCGCATGGGCTCGTCTCGTGACCTTGTGCACCGCAAACGCTATGTCAGGGCGCGTGCAACGCGCCACCCAGAGCGGCGAGCCGACCAACGACTAAAACTGGCGCACAGTCGGTCCTATTTTCGCGCTTGGCGTCCCAAGAAGCTCCTCGTCGCCCTCCTTCAACTCGTAGCAGCTGTCGTCGATCGGCGTCCACGTCGAGTTGGCGTCAGCGAGTCCGTTGTCGCGTAAGAGGTCTCTTATGGCCTCCTCCTGATCGAGCGTGTACCCATTCTGACCGTTGTGCGTCACGCGCATTCCCAGGAACTTGCTGACACGCCCCAGGTCCTTGATCGACAACGACGCGAGGCTTGCAAAGAACCGCTCGACCGCCGCCGCGCTCGTCCCTGTCGCTAGAAGATCGTCGACATACACGCCGACCACGACAAGGTCGTCGCCGTCGCGCTTCCAGTAAAAACACATGTCGCTCTCACACCGCGTGAAACCGGCAGTAGAGAGCTTCGAGTGCAGCAGCTGGCTCTACAGCCGGCCTGCCTGCTTGAGCCCGTAGAGGCTCTTCCGCAGCTCCAGCACCAGCTCGCTCGTGTTCGAAACGCCTTGCGCTCGTAGCGTCTCCTTCGAGACTGGCATGCCGCGCGGCATCTGTAGATAGATGCGCAGGTGCGGCTCCTTGTCCGCTTTAACGTAGGCGTTGGGGATGTCACCGTGCTTGGCAGGCATTCCCCACGTAGCAGCAAGAGCCAGGATCAATTTGACCGTCTATAGGTCCATCACGGCAGCGAAGGTGAGCGTGTAGTCGATGCCAAGCACCTGTTCGTTGCCACACGCCACCAGTCGCGCTTTCAGCCGCTCGAGGTCGCCCTGTGCATCTGTCTTGGTCTTATAGACCCATTTTGTGTGCAGCGCATGCTGTCCTGCCGTTCGCCTTGTGATAGTCCATACGTCGTTGGCCTCGAGCGCGGCGATCTCCTCTTGCATCGCCTTCTTCCACCCTTCGCGCTTGCCGCTGCGCATCGCCTGTCCGTAGTTAAGCGGATCATGCTCGAAAGCAGCATTTACGACTTCTCCGCTCGCGGCTGTCTCCTCCTGACGAGCAGCCGCTTCTGCGCGTTTCAACGCCCCGCGTGTTCCATGGGCCTTTCGCGTCCATCTCTTTCTGCTTTTACGCGTCTCCATGTTGCCCTCTGCGCGACCATCGTTCGCCACTGCTGCTGCTGGCGCGTCCGTCTCCTCCTGGCCTCCGGCTCGATCGCCGACGTCCATCGCGCGCTGGAGTTGCGCGTTTTGCGCCTCCGTCAGTGTCTCGATATTCTTGATGTGCTGCGTGACGACCGCTTTATTGTCACGCGGCAGCAGCACCTTGTAGCCCTTGGTTTCCTCGCTGACGCCGACAATGATGGCGCGCCCCGAGCGCTGCAGCAGCAAGTTCTTGCGTGGGTCTCTATACACGCTGCACTGGGAGCCAAAAACAACAATTCCACGCAGATCCGGCGTCTTGCCCGTCAGCACCTCGAGTGGTGACGCTCTCTTTGCGTTTGCTCGCGTAGGGCTCCGGTTGAGGATGTGAACGGCGTATAGTACCGCGTCTCCCCAGAACATCAGGGGCAGCGCGCAGGCAAACATCATGCATGCGCGCAAGGTTCATCACTGTCCGGTGCATTCTTTCCGCCTTGCCGTTTGAGGCCTGATTTCGCGCCTCCGACACTTGGCGCGCGACGCCCGTGCGCTCGCAGAACAGGTCCACGTTGGCGTATTCTCTGCCGCCGTCCGTGCGGAGCACGTGGACCTTGAACCCGAAAAGCTTCTCGAAGTGGACGAGGAACGCCTCGAACTGCCTCGCCGCAGCGTCCTTCGTGCGCGCGAGGAAGACTCGGAAGTTGTTGCTCTTGTGATCAACGAAGCTCACAAGGTAACGATTGCCGAGTCGGTCCCGCGGCGTCATTGGACCCTTCAGGTCCGAACAGATGACGCCACCGATGCGATCGATGGGCGAGTTCTTGCCTCTGTCTTGTTGGGACTGCGCGTTGCGCTTCTGCTTGCCTTCGAGGCACGACACGCACGCCATACGCTTGTTGTTGCTGAGTCGAATGCCCGATGCCGGATCGCGCGCCATGCGTTCGATCGTGTCGAACGCAACGTGGCCGAGTCTCTGGTGCCAGTGCAACAGCGAGGCTTCGTGCGGCTCATCGGCGTTGGTTTCCGTTGCATGCGCTTCGAGCGCCGCCATGATCGCGTCTCCGTTGCACCTTCCTTGTCGCGCGTGGCCTTCGTCACGACATACAGCACGTTGCTGTCGATTGTGACATCGAACGCGACCGCACCATCTCTGCACCGAGCGAGCGAGCGCCTTTCGCCGGAGTGCACTAGGGCAAATCCTTTGTTGGCGAGCTTGCCGTACGACACAATGTTCTTTGCCAGTCGCGGCGCCAAGTACACATCCGTGAGCGTCACTACCGCTTCAGCGCCGCGCGCAAGAACCTCGAGGCGCACGCTGCCGACACGCGTCAGGTGAAGCGACTCGCCGTCTGCCATTGCAATCTCGTGGCTGCAAGCCGTCGACTTGAGCAGCAGCGACTCGTCGTTGACAAGATGCCGGCTCGCGCCGCTATCGAGGATCCAGTCTCCTCGGTCGACGCCCGTGGCATCGGTCGCCGCAAGTACGAGGCCGCTCGTGCCGTCCGTGGCTCTTACTCCGTCGCTCGTCGTAAGCACGAAGCCGCATGAGTCGTCTGTGGTTCGCGCCCCATCTCTTACATTGGTCGCTGCGGCGTCCTTGCCGCGCGAGCCCTTCTTCCTCCTGTTGCGCTTCTTCGTGGTCGCTCTGCGCTTCTCGGTCAGTGCAAGGATCATGCTGGCGCCTCCGCCCTCCGCGGGTGTCTCGTCTTCGTGCACGACTCGCGCGCGACAGTTGGCTGCGATGTGGCCTGGTCGCCCCCATCGGTAGCACGTGATCGCGCCCTTGGGTTTGCCTTCCACGTGCGCGGCGACGTCCTCACGACCCACCGCGCTGCTGCCGTGCTCAATGGACTGCGCGAAGTGCGCCAGCTCCTCAGCATGGCGCAGGTAGTCGAGTCGAGTGGGCTCATACTTGGAGCGCATCACGTTCACCAGCTCCGGCGAAGCGTGGTGGACGATGTTATCAAGAACAAGCGAGTCGGAGCCACCGCGTGCCTCGCTGACGGCGACCATGTACAGGAAGTGCTCGGCCCAGGTGCGTCGTGCGTCCTTCTTCTCCATGATTAACTTCATCGCCTGGCTTGCAGTGATTGACGTCTTGAACGTGCGCAGGAGCTGCTCCATGATGTACTCCAGTGTGGGTGATTGCGTCCACCAGGTATCGACCTGCTTGTGATAGTACCTCTCAGCCGTGCTGGCGAGAAAGTGCCCAAGCAGGTCGACCTTGACGTCTTCGGTCCATCCGAAACCACACGACGCTTCCGCGAGGCTCACCGCGCGCAGAAACGTACGCCCCCAGTCAAAGAATCCGCTCCCGAGTCCGCGGTACAGCTCCGTACCATCGAACTTGCGTATGTTCAACTTCCGCTGGCTAGCGGACGGCATCCGTAGCCGTTGAGGCCCGGTCGCACATAGGCTTGTGGCGGAGCGAATTGTTGCGGCGGAGGTAGCGCTGCATGCTCCTGCGGAGGTGGCGCAGACGCTGGTGCGCGCTGCTGCAGCTGCGGTGCTGCTCGCGCGCGAGGTGGCCTGAGCGATGCGAATCGCGACGCGCCAAGATCAGTCGCGCGCTGGTATCCACGTGACACCGGTGCCTTCTCCTCCGCTTCTCCAATCGCGTCTATCGTCATCGGTCGGCCACGCATGTTGGCGCCGAGTTTCGAGGCGAACAGTCCGCTCTCCACGGCCCCGAGCATGCGCTCCTCCTCGTCTCGCACTCTCTGCGACGACTCGAGGCTCGCCAGTCGATCGGTGAGTGCGGCGAGCGCGGCGAGGATCTTATCGTCTCGCTTCCCGCTCTCGCGAGCGGGTCCATCGTTGACGACTGTGGGTGCGGTAGGCGCACACGCTGGCGAGCCGCGCCCAGGCGTGGCTCGCGGGACACCCCCTGGTGTCTTCGTAGTCGGTTCGGTGGTTGCGGCCATTGGGCTCATAACCTGTAGGCAAGATGCGTGTTGCGAGAAGGAAGCGTTAGGTGAACAATAAGATTCTGTTGTATTTCCTTACTAGTTCTCTATTCTCTGCCAAGATCGCCAAAGCCCTCTGCTCCATTCATCCATCTCACACGCATTCTGGCTCTACTCGGGTCACTATCCTGCTTGTCACTCTGCGTCCACCATTTACGCACAGCGAGTTTGTGACATCAGGTTTCCAAATAAACCCCAAGTCACCGGCCGAACACTCCGATCACCGTTACGTACCCTTGCACCCATTTCCAACATTTCAACAGAAGCTCTACATCAGATGATGACAGGTGCATCAACATCGTACGTCCGCTCACAGCCACCTGCAGACAGCATTCATGACGTGTGGAGCTGCGTAGACGTTCGACCGTATCCTGCGCGAGTGCAGAACCGATATCGGCAGGGCCACACGTCCACTGTGATGGTCCCTGGCTCTTCCATCACCAATGTGGAATGCCTGGTCTGCATATCGTCAATGTACAGCAGATCACTCATCCAGTTCTTCGTCTTCTTGCTAACGTACAATTTGGTTGCACGCACGCAATGCGCTACGCCAAACGAGTTCTCGCCAATCGTTGGACCTTTCCAGCAAAAGTCTCCACCATCTAACCATACCCACTACAGCGGCATTTGTCACGTTGCGGGCATCGTAGCCGTTCAGGCAGACCGAAGCGTGCCGGCAGTCTTCAATCCCACAGCCTTGTTCTTCACGTCCACGTAAGCGTACCGGAAGTATTCCATCCCACAATCTTGTCCTTGACCGTCATCTTACCAGCAGTGAAGTGCCTAACCTGAGTGAAGGATGGAGCTGCAGGAAGACAACGGCTCCGTCTGCGACTCAGGGTAGATGCCACTGTTGACGCGGGTTTTAGCTTGTGCAGCGTCTGCTTTCTATCAGGTGGTGATCCATCAAATGACGGTTGTCCTTCGACACAATCGGCTGGGCTTGTAGGTGTTTTCGCGTTCGTGCTACACGTTTACCGGGTACCGCTATTCCACCAGACTGAGTGTCAAATAGATGGGGTCGTAGACCTACTGGAAGACCGTAGTCATGACCTCGTCCTACTTCTTTTGCTCTTCGACCACGATGCCATGGAGTGTGATGACGACGCGTGCTCCGTCCTTGCACATCTCTTCTCAACTCGCATCACGGTTTTCCATGTGAGCGTGGGTATCACGTTGTCAGTGCTGACAGTCAATGTATCCGGGCCATGATACAGTTTTGACAAGGTCGATATTTCAGCCATGACAACACAATCAGCGAGTGAGGTGGTTTGTAGGATGCGCTTCGTTTGTTTGTAACAGTGCAGTATGCTCGATCAACTTCGATTGGTGTCGTCAAGTCTCCGTCGTTTGTCTCTGCAAAAGGGAAGGGGCCGGCTACGAACGAAATGTGTTCCAAGCGTTCACAAATGTCGCTGATTGGTTTCCGAACAAGATGGTGTATGTGACAGTGTCCGAGACATCCGCGTGCATGCCCTGAAATAGTACAGTGAGCAGGCTCGAAAGGATGAGTGGCCGCGCCGGTCCGGTGACCACGCTGGTCACGTGACGCAGGTCATTAGCGGACGCGATAATCAGGTCGATTAGTGGCAACAGAAGGGATGAAATGACGAAAAGCGGTGCCACCACAAATCATCACATAGGATCATCAAGCCAACCTTGACGTGCCAACTCGATCCATTCGCACCATGCGCCACAACCGTGCTGCAGCTTCTACTACAAAGAAGAGCACTAGAAGCTGGCACGATTCGCTGCTTTTCAAACGGGAGTCAAGGAGGGGGTACAGAAAAGTAGAAAAGGTTCTGAAAACGAGATACATAACGAATGGTGATCCTTTCACTAGCCTGCGCGCTCCACCTCTGACTCAAATTTTTCTCAGAGTGATACTTCGTACCGTGAGTCACACTACGCGTATAGTTCAAATCCACGTCGTTCGTCGCAATCTTGGTCGCACAGATCTTGGTCCAATCGATCTCGGTGGGGAGCCTCGTTGTCGTTTGAAGTAGAAGCTGGAAAACCCATGAGTCTACTACCGTGGAGATCCGACAATCTCAGGAACGATTATTGTCTACGAAGTGTTCCGACTATCGGAAGTGCATCAAGAACTTCGTTAGGACGGTTCTCCGAATGTGCCAGTAGGTCTCCGACTAACGGAAGACTGTCAAGAAGACTTTCGTTAGGACGGGTATCCGAATGTGCCAGTAGGTCTCCGACTAACGGAAGACTATCAAGAAGACTTTCGTTAGGACGTCCCTCTGATTGTGCTAGGAGCGCATCGAGGATTGGAAGGTCCTCGATAAGTTCGAGAACTTCGTTGGGATGCCCCTCTGAATGGGTCGGAACTTGTCCGTACGTTGTTGCAGTTGCGATAGCGGCGAGTACGACGGAAATGAGGAGTTTCATCTTTGTCGCGAAGTGTGGAGGTGTGGAGGCTGGGAAGGGTTTGGCAAGTTGCAGAATGATAAACAAGTACACATGCTCTTGGATCGGGCGTCCAGTTGAATTGGTCGAATCAGAAGCAGTTTCGTTTGTTACAGAGGATAAACTTCTACCACACTTTGAACGTCATCCTTGCTAAAGAAAACGCATGGCTGTTGACGCTGATCGAGTCATTGAAACGACCGGCAGGAGAAGGCGACTCTCGCTGATCGATTCGTTGCAAATCGAGATGTCGCAGCTCTTGAACCTTGAGATCGACCGTGATGGATCAAAGAAGAACACTGACTCGGTCCTCTCCATTCGGAAAGAGTCGTCTGCTCGACTCTTGCATCGTCTAGCATCTTCTGAGAGATTATACAGCAGATCGATCCAAAGTGTAAGAGTTCAGACGTCCGATCGGATCCATAGCTTACTGAAGTGGCCCGCAAAAGAGCGTTCAAACGCGACGCAGCGCGTTGACGATACACGACACTATGAACACATACGAACGGTCGTTGGAAATGTCTTGCTTCTTGAACCTGCACAGATTTCCCATCATCTTCCACCGTGGCAAGGTCGACCACCAAAAAGGGACGTGCATCAGTAGGGTGATCATAATCGGCCAACATGATTGTAAGCGCTCATCTTTTCGTTTCGTGGTGGTGTTCATCTGGACAGTCATCATACGAGCGAAACCGCTGTATACTGATAACGGTGTCACAGCACGTAGCTTGTACGGATGAGAAGCGAGGGAGGAGGTTGGAACTGGTGAACTGTAAGAGTATTGAGTCAATGATCTCCTGGACGATTGCAGATACCACAGATGCTCGGGATCTAGCAGGTCAGCACTTGTACGGAGATGCACCTGCGACAGCTAGAAGAAAGATAGACCGATACAATGCAGACTACCAGACGAGAGAAAAAGAGTCTGGTGGGATCAACGGACGGACGATGCTACGAACGAAATACGTGCAAGCCGGCACTACTCGCGGAGAACCGCCACTTCACTACCGCTACAGACTAGGCATATTGACCATGGTACGCGCATAAAGTACGCACAGTGCTTGAAATGTTCACAGCAAAGTTGACAAAGCTGTGCCTGCCGTTTCTATCGTGGATCGTCCCTGTCCACGTGATGTATTGCTACTTAACGTAGAGATGATAGTCAAGGAACCAGAGAAATACGGAGAAATGCTCAAACGATGAGCCAGTGCACGCAAAGGTATCGCAAGACTGCTGCAGTAAGTTTGGCTTCGGCGTGAACGGGCTAGCAGTGCGTCTTCTGTTCTAACATGATTTTCTGCCGATCCGGGGTCGGGTGGTCACAGGTCTGTTTCTTAGAATATCACGTTCAACATCACGCAGTCGTCTTTCGTGTTCATCCTTCAATTTACCTCCCCACCCACCATACTGTATGTACCGCTCGCCTTTTTCTGAAGGTGCCTCCGAAGACAATGACAAACCCTGAACAAGCGCCAATACAAGTCGCTAGTATTCGTGACGCGGAGCAGCTTGTCGGAACCGAATCCACACCTTCGATTGATGTCATGAGAGTGTGGTGGCTCTGGCATGACTCGCCAGATTGTCACCAATCACCGACGCGCCATCTTTACTTCCACGTCACCAGCAGTGTTCAAACGGCGAAACGAAGCTCTACATCAGATGATGACAGGTGCATCAAACAATCGTCCGTCCGCTCACAGCCACCTGCAGACATCATTCATGACGTGTGGAGCTGCGTACACGTTCGACCGTATCCTGCGCGAGTGCAGAACAGATATCGGCAGGGCCACACGTCCACTGTGATGGTCCCTGGCTCTTCCATCACCAATGTGGAATGCCTGGTCTGCATATCGTCAATGTACAGCAGATCACTCATCCAGTTCTTCGTCTTCTTGCTAACGTACAATTTGGTTGCACGCACGCAATGCGCTACGCCAAACGAGTTCTCGCCAATCGTTGGACCTTTCCAGCAAAAGTCTCCACCATCTAACCATACCCACTACAGCGGCATTTGTCACGTTGCGGGCATCGTAGCCGTTCTGGCAGACCGAAGCGTGCCGGCAGTCTTCAATCCCACAGCCTTGTTCTTCACGTCCACGTAAGCGTACCGGAAGTATTCCATCCCACAATCTTGTCCTTGACCGTCATCTTACCAGCAGTGAAGTGCCTAACCTGAGTGAAGGATGGAGCTGCAGGAAGACAACGGCTCCGTCTGCGACTCAGGGTAGATGCCACTGTTGACGCGGGTTTTAGCTTGTGCAGCGTCTGCTTTCTATCAGGTGGTGATCCATCAAATGACGGTTGTCCTTCGGCACAATCGGCTGGGCTTGTAGGTGTTTTCGCGTTCGTGCTACACGTTTACCGGGTACCGCTATTCCACCAGACTGAGTGTCAAATAGATGGGGTCGTAGACCTACTGGAAGACCGTAGTCATGACCTCGTCCTACTTCTTTTGCTCTTCGACCACGATGCCATGGAGTGTGATGACGACGCGTGCTCCGTCCTTGCACATCTCTTCTCAACTCGCATCACGGTTT